TTTTCTCCCCCATTCTCCTCTTCCCTTCAAAAATCTTCTGGGGATTCGGGGGGAGGTTGTGGCAGCAACTCTGCCAAGTCCAGCACAAGAAGCACAAGGAGGAAAGAACAACATTTATCTGACCTCATTTATTGTGTGGTATCATTTAACAAGCTTCCTTGTGGGAAGCTTTTAAGATTTCAGCATTAAATCAGATGAAGTTAAATAATAAATAGAAAACACATCAGGACTCCTGGTTGGGAACGTCCTTACCTCAGGCTTTTAAACAACAAAACAGTATTTAAGTAAGAAATGAGCAGAGGCATCGTACTGTAGGTGTTCTTTATTCCAATTAAAAGTACATTAGAAACAGCACACAGGACCAGCAGCAGCTTTCATGACAATTCAACCCAATACTCTGCTGTCACCAGGTCATTCAGCTGTACTATTAAAGTAGGTGATTGAAACAAAGTCTTCCACTCGCCACGCAAGCACTCACTCACCTGCCATTTTAAATAGGTTTCCAGCAGAATAAAAATAGATACACCCCAGAATACAAAAAGTTTTCATTTTAACAGGTTTTTTTTTTTTTTTTCTTCACTAAAGCCTTTATACAAATTGATAAAAGGGTGCACAATTTCCTAAAATTTTAGGTACATTTTAAATGAGCCTTTTTTGTTTGTTTTTTACTTGGTAAAAGGATCCATGTTCCTGTCTTTGAACAGAATAGGATGGCCAAAATTGCAAAGAAAAATTCCTAGTTAAATTTACAATTTATACATGAGTTTTGAAGTGATTCCTGCACTGAGGAGCAGACTGATGGCTGCTCACACATGTCCCATTTCCCCCCCCCACAAAACAAAAAAGAGCTGTGCACCCTAAGTTCTAGTTCAGGAACTTCCTTTCTCCTGGAAACCCGGCTGGGGGAACAACCCACAGGTGGGGGAACAACCCACAGGCTTTCAGTTGAGTAGGAGAATGGTCCCAACCCAACTAAAAGCCCAAGCACAGAAGTTCTAAATCAGTTGCACATCATCAATTGCAAATCATTTCTTCTGGCAAGGATCACCCTGGGGCCAGGGACTGATGATGACCTGTTTACACTACGAGCACAATGAAAGTGGAGCGCTTGCTGTCTGCAATTTGGCTGAGCAATTTAACTCAAAACTCTGGTACTAAAACGTATTAGAACAGGGAAATTTGGTGTTCTAAAGGTTGGGTTTGTTTTTTGGGGTTTTTTTGGTCAATATAAGCTCTCATGATTTTTATTTTCCTTTTATTCCTATTACTGATTGGTGAAGCCCGGCAGTTCTGCACGTTAATTCACGTGGAACTCCCCAGCAGCATCTTAAAACCACCATCACCTGCCTAAAGGTGACCAACCTCCAACTCCCAACAGTCATTAACATTTTATGGAGGTGAATTTATTCAGAACATTAATTAGTACAGTTCCCTTCATACTACCCCTCCCTCCCCACCTCACCCAGCTACACCTTGGTGAGGTTAAAGGCTTCAGATGAATTTCTAGAGTACGTAGGTAAGCACTGTCACCACCACCCCATGTCTAGTGGCCATTCTAACCCATCAAGGACAAATTAAAAAAGAAAATACTGCCCAGCAAAAGCAACACGGCACCTGTGTTTGCGAGTAGGAGCTACTGGAGACATCCTCAGGACAATTTACGTCAGGAAAAGCAGGGCAAATCCATCCAGGAAGCCAGAAATGAGTCTTAAAAGAGCTCAGGAGAGCGCCAAAAAGAATGACATCCTATTTTGTACAAGTTGAGTTTTTTTTAGCCAAAAACCAGCTGCCTTGTTTGGGTTTGGTTTTTATTGTTGGTTTTTTTTTTTCTTATGTCCATTATATATTTGACTGTTGAATTTTAACTGATTAGGTTAACGCTGAACTTGATTCCAATTAAAGGCAATAAAGCTTTTTTTTTTTCAATTTGTTTTAGATAATTACATTTTGCCCATTTTTTTGGCAAGTGTATTTCTTAGAATTCCAAAAGATTTTTTTTTTCCCCGTTTTAAGGCTAAACTAAGAAATGTTAAAAGCTTCTGTAAACATTTCCTCTTCCTCCCCATTAGTTGCACAATTTGAAGTCCAACTGCAATTTTTAAAATGAGGTAATTTTTGTGTACTCATATCTTAAAGAGTCCTTTTCGGGACAAGCTGAGAGGCGTGCCAATCTGAACGCTGATCCAATTGTAGTGGGAGAGCTTCCACAGCAGGGTACACACCAGTTCCAGCAGCTGTACTTCAGTTAGTTATCTTCTCAATTTCATCCAAGTCATCAGTATCCAATTTGTTTATCTTTTTGTCTGGGAAAGATGAGAAAATAAAGTCAGATTTCATAACACAGAGAAGGGAAAGTTGATTTCATTCGCTGGTCTTGAGGAGTTTAGGTTTATCCATCAAATGTTCAGTCAGGTTTTAAAAATACAACATAAAACTTTTATCATCTGGGTATTTCATAGAATCATAGACTGGTTTGGGTTGGAAGGGACCTTAAAGCTCATCCAGTCCCAACCCCCCTGCCAGCAGCAGGGACACCTTCCACTAGACCAGGTTGCTCAAAGCCTCATCCACCCTGGCCTTCAACACTTCCAGGGAAGGGGCATCCACAACTTCCTTGGGCAACCTGTTCCAGTGTCTGACCACCCTCACAGTGAAGAACTTCTTCCTAATATCTCATCTAAACCTCCCCTCTTTCAGCTTAAACCCATTTCCCCTTGTTTTGTCATTAACTGCCCTTATGAAAAATCCCTCCCCAGCTTTCTTGTAGCCCCTTCAGGTACTGGGAGGCCGCTATAAGATCTCCCTGGAGCCTTCTCTTCTCCAGGCTGAACAGCCCCAACTCTCTCAGCCTGTCCTCACAGCAGAGCTGCTCCAGCCCTTGGATCATCCTGGTGGCCCTTCTCTGGACTTGTTCTAACTGGTCCATGTCTTTCTTATGTTGGGGGCTCCAGAACTGGATGCAGTATTCCACGTGGGGCCTTACAAGAGCAGAGTAGAGGAGCAGAATCACCTCCCTCGACCTGAGGGATGTCAGCCATCTCTGGAACATCCATTTTAAGGACTATCCAAGTAACCAGCAAACAGACAACTCAACTAATTTCTGCTCCTGTCACAGGGAGCTGCTCACAATCTCGAGTGACATTACACAAAAGGCAGCTGCTGAGCGATTCTGTGCTCAGTTTAAGGCTCAGTAAATATATCAGTATACAGCTGATCAAAATCCTGTAGAAATAACATCTGATTTTAGAAAAAGAGTCTGAGAGAACATACTGAAATGTTCCTGGATTCTGTTGAGAATATTCATGCTGTGTTTGCTGTCCACCATGTTAATAGCCAGTCCTCGTTTGCCAAAGCGCCCTGTACGTCCAATCCGGTGCAGATAAGTCTCATTATCTGGATTTCCATCTTTATCCACGGGAAGGTCAAAATTGATGACAACAGAGACCTGCTCTACATCGATCCCTGAGGAAAAAAAAACAACAGCAGATTACACAATGACATTTAAACCACTTGAGAGCAGGAAGAGTCTCCTCTGGGCTGACCATATCCAGGTTACCCAACACAGAATTTCCAACAGCTTTTCAAGAGCTGCTGCCTCCACATTGAGTGAGGAGTGAAAAGCCAGTCTCAAATTCTGAAATGCATCCATAAATATTTATGGAGTATTTTGAAATAAAAACTATCCAGCTGTTTTGCCACAGAATCAACTAAAATGGCTAATGGAAAAACAGTTCGAGCTGCTCAGCTTTAACCAGCACTTAAGATATTTTGGAAACTCTCTCCTCCTCTCCAAAGCTGTAAAGGTCTCTTGGTTTTTTTTTTCCCCAAGTACTACGTTGTCTTAACTGTTCTAAGATGTTAAATTGCAACACAAATTCCTAGTGGAGTTCAGTACTTTTCAGATCTCTGTATTTTGGAACATGTTTGTTTATTTTAAACGCTGAGGGTCAGCGGTACAAACCAGGCTTGGTGCCAGAAGCATAAAATTCTCACAGGATGGATTTTTTTCATCTCAAGCTGCAGGAAGGCTACAAGGAATCCTGTCTTTGCCCACAGGCACAGACATGGTCAGCAGCCCAAAAACCCAGGAATTACCTTAAGGACCCTAATTTCTCCAGACTAGAACACTTGAGGATACAAATTCTTTCTTGTAAGCTGGCCAGCTTGTATCTTATCTTAGGAAATGGTGCTGCCGCCCCAGCTCTGCCATGTCCTACCTCTGGCACAGACGTTTGTGGTCACCAGCACCTTTTCTTTGCCCTCTCGGAAGCGCTCGATGACGGCAGCTCTCTGTTCCACCATCATCTCCCCACTGAGCAATGCCACCTGATGACCTTCCTTTGAGAGCTCAGCTGCCAGCCAGCCAGCTGTCTTCCGAGTCTGAAACACAAAGCCATGTTCATCATCTCTGGGAGGAAGTTTTAATGCTGTAAAGAGGGAACAAACCTCTCTGGGGTCGACTGGAAGCTCTGCAGCTGCTGGGTTTTTATATCTCAAAAAGAAACAGCTCCTAAGTGCTATGTCCACCCTCCTCCCCGTTACAAACTGTGCTCCCAGCTCTCCTATCAGGAATAGGAGCACATACATCTGCCAGCCTTCTTTAAGACAAGTGCATGTTTTCTTGGTGCTCTGCTCCTCAGCTTTTGCTCTGTGAGGGATTACATATGTAGGCTAAAAACTCACACGCAGCGTCAAGGAAACACAACTAGTCAGCTTGGAAAATGGCAGGGTTAGAGCCCAGTGTCGTTGTGAAATCCAACAGAAGCTCTACACAGTCTTAATTAAACAGTTTCCAATCACGATGGTTTTTTGAGCTCTGATTATGTCTGATATCATTACATCTCAAAACAGCATAAAAGCAGACTCTAAATACAGGTTTTCTCCTTTCTGAGCTAGCTTTACATGGCTGTTTTAGTGCTGTCAGCCTAAAAAAGCAGCCATTCTGCTTTTTACCTAAGAGTTATTATAGTGGCTTCCAGATAAAAAAAACCAGTCTCAGTCTGATTGCCAGGGACACCCCAGAGGTGTATCCCCAATTACCTGAGGGAGACAGAGTCCCAGGAAAAGCCACGTATCAGCTGCAGAACTACAAGTCTTCCCCATCCCTCATTCTGTCCTATTTTTATTCATTTTCTAACCTCAGAGTTTTGTTGGGTTTTTTTTTCAGTAGTTCCAAGTAATACTTTGTTTTGGAAACCTGTGCATTATTCTGATCTTTGTCCTTCAGAGGATTTCTAAGAATAAAAACTACCTGGATGGACAAACCCAGATAAACAAACCAGCCAGTGCTATCATGGCTCTCAAGATTTCACTCAAGAGAGCCAGAAAAGCCAAAGAAAAGGGCAATTCATGTTCTCAGTTTCTTCCTGCAAAGCCTGCCTGGCCAGGTTTTTAGCACTAACAGACACTACCAGGGTCGCTGGGACCAACATTCCCCAAAAGGACTCACGTGGCAGAAGATCATGGCCTGGGCAATGGTGATGGCACCGTAGATATTACAGAGAGCCTGGAACTTCTCGTCTCTGTTATTGCACAGAACGTAATACTGCTTAATAGTGTCCAGTGTCTCCTCCTCTCGCTTCAGTTTGATAATGTTTGGGTCAGGAACAACTTTTTGAGCAAACTTCCACACAGAATCTTCAAAAGTGGCCGAAAACAGAAGCATCTGGCAATCCCTGGGGAGCATTCTGCAAGAGAGAGCAAAATAGGGAGGGTTTCCACGCAACGCTGTCGCTCCCAATATCCTGATGGGATTAATGCCACGGACAAAGCAGAACAGTAACCTCAGAACCAGTTATTTCAGTGGCTGGAAAGATTAATGTTAATCTTCCCAACACCTGATCGTTCCCTCATGGACCAGTGGCATCCAGACTTGTATTCTTAGAAATTAATAAACCCTGCTCCAGGGACAAGGCTTTTTAATTCTGTAAGGAAATGAAACTGCTTGTCATCCCCTGACATTCTGCCTCTACTAACCACCTGGATTAGAGCTAAATATATCATTTTAATCTTGTTGCTTTATCAGTGAAGACACCAGTCAAGAATCTAACCCTGCTGTCCCTACATTACAAAACAGCTATAATGGAAAGAAACAAAAATCACCTCGGGCAACGTACGCCCAGTCCTTACCTCTGAATGCGGATGCTCTGGTCCTGATGGCCCTGGGTTGCTATCATCACATCAGCCTCATCCAAAACAAACACTTTAATTTTCTTAGGATCTATGAATTTCAGTTTAGAACACCAATCCAGCACAGTGCCGGGTGTGCCGATTACAATCTGCTCCGAGATCTTCTGACCTCTCTCCACTGCCGAGACAGAAAGGAAAGCTTTCATAAGATGGCTGTGCAGGCAAGGAAATGCTCTGCCTCTCTCTGAACAATCCTGTCTCACCATCTGACTGCTCTATTGTTAATTTACTGTTATTGTACCCAGGGAACATCGTTTTCTCAGGTCCAGTCTGATGGTGGTGTTTCACCTTACTCACATTTATTGCCTCGGACAGCGTACGCAAGTTTCAGCTCCGGATAAAACTTCCCCATCTGTTCAATCACTTTTCCTGTTTGAAGTGCCAGCTCATATGTTGGGGAAAGGCACAAACACTGGAGAGAGAGAGAAGGATAACGTGTTTGAAATGACCAACAGCTGGGGCAACACTATCACACTTGCATTTAAAAATCTGTATTGTTGAAGTTTTCCTGAAGATAAACACACGAGCAGCACAACAGTTTCTGAAAGGCCATCAGTTCTGCACCATGAAACTAGGGGAAGGAGTTGATACGATACAATCATCTCGGTGCTGACTTTCTGCATTCAATTCTGGTTCTCAGAACTGAGAGTGCAGATCCTCTGCTAGGGGATATACATGGACAGTGACAATGACAAGGAACCTGCCACCCACAATTAGACTAAGAGATAAGAGCAGCATTTTTTAAGGAAAGAACTCTAGCCTTGGTAAAACTGCTCAACTATCTCATAGGAAATTGAGTTTAAAAAGCCCCTTTTGGGTGTGTTCTGCTCTATTGTCACAGATATCTTCTCTTCCATCCCAAATTCCACTTACTTAACCTCCCTTCAGCCTGCAATATTGCTCTGATTTAATTTCTCCCAGAGTGATATCACCCCCAGTTTAACTCCTAACTCCAATGGCATCCTGAGTGATGTAAGGGAGGGAGCAAAAGGAACAAGTTGTGGGGAAAATCCGTGTCTTTTCCATCAAAGGCATTTTGATAGATCCCCAAATCACCAGCCTCTTCACTAGGTGGCACTGCACCACCATGAAACTCCCCCAAAAACCATCACATCCCAGAAACTTTACCTGTGGATACTTGTTCCCGGGTTCAACACGACTGAGCATGGCCAGGACAAAGGCAGCTGTCTTGCCAGTACCGGACTGAGATTGTGCGATCAAATTCTGTGGGCTGCAGAGCGTACAGCAGACATGAGCTCACCCAGACAAACCACCCAGACAACTTATTCATGGGGTTGAATGATAAAAGAAAATTTGAGTGGTATTTTAATATCTTTTAGATTTCCCACTGCTCTGGACTGGGGCCTGACTTGACCAGCTACGCTCCCTCTCCCAACTCTCTCTTTCAGCACCTCTTGATGATTTGGAGAAGAAAAACTGCGATTTATCTGTCAGTACTTTTCCATTTTGTACATCTCCCCCTAGTGTCATAACACTTCATCCATCTCAGCTCAGGGGCACCAAGAAAACCAGCCACCCAGCATCTCAACTGCCCTCACCCACCCGGGATTTCAGGAGTTATGTTCCACAGCAACCTTATTAATTCTCCTTTACACTGACTAGGAAAATGGGATTCATTCACTGCGTGTTCAGTGCCAGCCCTAGGAAAAGGAAAAATCCAGAGCTGCTGTCACATAGCTTGTGACCACAGAAACACTGTGGCATGGGAAGCCTTTCACCACAGCCAGGACAGCTCCCCCATCACCATCCTCCCCTCCAAAGCTCAGTACTAGTACTCTAAATCTTTCAAACCCTTCCTATACTGGATGGGAGTAGAAAATATATGTACATACGGTTCAGCCAGCATCATGGGCAGGGCATTCTCTTGTATCTTAGATGGTCTGTTGAAGCCCATAGCATAGACTCCTTGCAGGAGCTGTGGTTTCCTGAAAACAGAGGAGTTTTTATACCATGACCTATTAAAGTTCATTTGGTGTTCATCTGTGCACAAAAAAAGGTGAGAAAAATCTTTGCAACCAGGCTTAAAGCTGCTCCTTTCTGTGTCACCGCTGCGATTGCACCGGTGAAGTGACTACGGTCAGTCACTACAACAAGTGGCAGCAGAAAGTCTGGGAATAAAGCTTTGTAAAACCCCTGGATTTAGTAAGTCAGCCTGCACGGAAAAACACGTGTCTCTAGGGCAGCTCTAAGGCCAGCCAGTCCTGGGAATCCCAGAGCAGAGAGCACTAATCCCGCGCTTTAAACTCATCCCTTTTCCTCCGCCATGCCTAATCTCGGCACCAAAATTATCACTCCTTGAAGACTCAAATATGGGACAAATTGACTTCAGTATGTAAGGAACAGAATGAAGTGTCACGTCGTGAAATCATTGCAAGTATTTCAGTAAGTCATGATGAATTCTGTCGTAGGTGCTGACATCTTAACACCGGAGCGGTCCTGGCTTAGCGCAGAAAACCGCTGAATAAGCTTAGTTCACCGTGACTACACCTAGTGATCCACGGTTCTAACCCAGCACTCACACCCCAGAGTGTCCTCAAATGCTCATCAATTGCTATTTCTCAGCTTTCTGGTCTCAGCAGACACTTGTGTAGACAAGGAGATAGTTCTAACCCAGCACTCACACCCCAGCGTGTCCTCAAATGCTCATCAATTGCTTTTTCTCAGCTTTCTAGTCTCAGCAGACACTTGTGTAGACAAGGAGATCCAAGAACACCCTAAAATTCAGGTTCCGGTGCTAGCGAACTCTTAGGCAATGACCTCCAAGTGCTTCCTGGAGTGCTGTTAGTGGTGCTCAGAAGTAAGGGCTTTCCTCTCAAAGCAGGTTACAGGTTTCCTGCCCACCATTTCCCACTGTTAAGAACTTCCTATTCAGCACAACATGCTTTTTAAAAAATTCCTGTATTACTTTCAGATGATGGCTGGAACAAAAGCTCTTTGAAAACGTAACCTTGTGCTGCTCAGAAGCGAGGACGTACAAAGCCCAACTCTGCAACAGTTGCCAAGGATACACCAAGTCATAACAAAATGAAGACTCAATTAGTCTGGCTACCCCCATCGTTAACTTGCTTGCACTGTTTGGCTTTTGAAAGATGGGAATTAGTCTAACAGGCACTACAGGACCTCCTTTTTTTTTTTAATAGACATTCAACCACTAACAAAGTGAAACGACATCCTGACATTTCACGGTGAGAAGTCTCATCGGCTCTGATACCCCATCCAGCTTGCAAAAGAACAACAAAACTGAGATCATCGATATAACCAACAACAATCCCAACAGGACAGCCTCTTTAGCACATTAAAAATATATATATATATAAATCTATCATGCCTTAAATACAGCTATCACCACTTGAAAGCTCCACTGGTAAAGATATTCAATAGGAAGGGTCAGGAAATACTAACGCTAGTAGTTTCTCCAGTATATAAATCCAGTACTACTGGCAGAGAAAGATAAGCTTTTCCCTTTGTAACTATTCACTGCTGCAGCTGGACCTTCACAAATAACCATCAGAGAACAGGAACAGAAGATGGTTGTGTTCATTACTTCTGCCAATCAAACAAACCTCATGTTTTCCAAAACACTGGAACACCTGCTCCGAGCCTCCCTGCCTTTGCTGGAGAAGTGATGGGGAAATGAAAATGCCTCTGACACAGAAAAGGTCTCACTTTGCAATTGATTCACAGAACCCTGGTGACAGGAGCTGCGGAAGGCCAGCCCCCTCTCCTCTGTTCACCTCACCCAGCGTATCACACCTGAGCTCTGCTGGCATTTGAAGACCAAAAACCATATGTTACAATTCAGAATAGTGTTGCTAGAGCTAATTAACAGAAAGCCATGCTAGCCCTGCGCCGACCAAGAATTAAAACGAGCTTGTTCCAGACTGAAGCCTTCACAAGGCACCAAAATAAAATAATTCTCCTTGCATTTAAATAATACAATAAATTATAATTTATTAATGACAAATTAGCAGTAACTTGAAACAGAAACCCACGGGCTTTTAAGTGATATCTCCTATGTAGCCAGGGAATCTATCAGGACACGACAGGATGCTCCAACTATCTGCTCAGCTCCAAACTCACATCTGCTCTTGCAGCCTCACCAAAAGTGAGTCAATGCTGCTCTCCTCAAGTTCAAGAACTTCCTACAGCTGAGGGGGCCAAACAACAGGCTGAAAAATACAGTCACAAGGGAACCTGTTTAATATTTCTGTTCCCAGGTTTTAACAGCTCAGTGCAGAGAAATCTCCGGCTCATCCCAGCATCACCCTTCTCACAGCTTGGAACCGACAGGCACTTACAGTCGCAGCTCCTCAAAAGACTTCACGGAGTAGAGAGGCGACGTGGGATCCCTCTGCAGCACCTCCACTTGATTTGTTGTGTCAACCAAGTTACTGCGGATTAACTTGTTCAACAAGGACTGGGCAGCTCTGTCCTCTGGTGGAAAAGGAGGTAGAAAAAGAACTAAATTAAATAAATCACAACCTGTTTGAGGTGTCGCTCCCACGGAAAGGCGGCATTACTGAGCCAGCTCAAAAGGACCAGACAGCTATCAAGATATCTCAGAGATTCACATTCAATATCCAGGAGGACAAACTAAAGTGATCATTGTTTTCAGGAGGACCTTAACAGATACAGATATTATTTAAGATATTATTTAAGATATTATCACTTAGCATGTCACTGGAAGGGGGGACAGGGTTAACTGGCTCTTCCCTATTATCTGACACGTGGACAGAAAAACCTTTTAACGTTTTATTTTTCACCTTCTTTTTAAGGAAAGTTTGAGGACATACAGTACTTTGAAAGATTCCAGGGCTGAAACGCAGCAAGGGCTGAGGGTAAATGAGATCAAAACAGGTTAAACTGCTGCACTTTGGGGTTTTGCTAATAAATTTGTTTTCTAAAGCCACCTTCTGAAGGATTTAGAGCCGTTACCCACCTCTTCACAGCCATTTCATAAACGCAACGTGTTGGTTGCTACAGCAATTCCAGCTCCAGGTTATCCAACTGCTCCTGTATCCAGTCCTGCCTTTGAGGACACTGCTATCCCCTTATTTCTCTCCACTCTAATCCAGGAGTCTCCCAAGTTATTACAGGACCCAATGGCTTTAAAAGTATTATGGAGGAAGGACATGTCTTACAATTAAGTCCTTGGGGCAGGATACAAGATCATCCATCCTGAGACATAAGGCAGACTTACTTTAAGTACAGATGAAATTAATTTCAACATTCCTTGCCAAAGGTTTTTCCAAGAAGACACTTACCCTTCTCCTCATCTTCCGTCTTCTCTATGTTGTCATCTGCCTTGACAACAGCACCTAAATTAAAACAGATTGTTTTGAGGCAACTGTGAGGTCAGGCAGCTCACACCTGCAGAGTTTTAGGTTTTCAATATTGTGGGAAAAGCTACAAAACAGCCCCTTTTCCTGACGACACCCCTGCTCTGTCAGTGTGCAGAAGAAATCCAAGTTATGGCTTGCTCTGTACGGCCAAATTGAAGTTTATCAAACCATATCAACAGATTTTGCCTGCACAGCTCCTTCAGTACAGCAAAACATGATTTTAAAAAGTTAGCCTAGCAGATATTTAGTCTACGCTGCTGTTTAATCTTGGCTTTATGTTTCTTTTTTTTCTGGAAGTTCTTGCCTAATCAGTAATTTACTTTAGCAGCAGTGCTCCAAACCCAACAGCAAAACATCCCATTTTAGCGACTGCAACTCACCATTGGCATCTGGTTTGGTTTTTTCCTCTTTCAGGTGTAAATTGCTCAACTACAAGTGAGGAAAAAACACAAAATTAGAGTAATTCCAAGGCTACCATATCTATATTTTACTAACAGCCAGGAAAACCTGAGTTTTCAGCTTCCAGATTTACCACCTGCTAAAATTATTGCCCAGGCTTGAAAGGCAAATGAGATGAAGTTGGTGAGATGAACCTGATTTCAAGAGTTTTAAAACAAACACCGCTGTGACGATGACACGCAGAAGGGGTTCGTTTTCTATCCCTACATCTCCGCTCCCTAATAACTCTGCTGATGGTAAATGGTTGAAAATTTACATTCCAGGATGGAAACTGGAACCAAGGACAGTCCTGGCTGACATGAGCTGTCCAAGAACAAATCCTTCTCGCCAAGAATTTGTTTCAGCACCAGGAATATGACAGGGAGAGGAGCCCTGAAGGTCTTCCCCACACATCCAGGGGCTAAGTAGTTTCAGCTACAGGCTGAAAGAGTTGGGGCTGTTCAGCCTGGAGAAGAGAAGGCTCCGGGGAGATCTTATAGCGGCCTCCCAGTACCTGAAGGGGCTACAAGAAAGCTGGGGAAGGACTTTTCATAAGGGCAGTTAATGACAAAACAAGGGGAAATGGGTTTAAGCTGAAAGAGGGGAGGTTTAGATGAGATATTAGGAAGAAGTTCTTCACTGTGAGGGTGGTCAGACACTGGAACAGGTTGCCCAAGGAAGTTGTGGCTGCTCCTCCCTGGAAGTGTTCTCGGCCAGGTTGGATGAGGCTTTGAGCAACCTGGTCTAGTGGAAGGTGTCCCTGCTGCTGGCAGGGGGGTTGGAACTGGATGAGCTTTAAGGTCCCTTCCCACTCAAACCATTCTATGGGTCTGATTCTAAGTTGGTGCTCTCCATACTAAACTACAGCGCTGGAGCAGCTCACAAAAATAAAATAATTCAACTCCTCATACAAATTTAGATCTTGTTATAAAATATGAGAGGAAAAAAAGCGTATTTTTGGCCCCTGGGTGAAGACCACAGGCTCGGTGACCACCTCTGAAGCGGTGCTGTGGACAGAGCTGTGTCTGGGTGTAGGCTGAGGGGGAAGGACAGTGGCCTCCCTGCCTTTTTGATACTTAAAACATGAAGGGAAAATTAAAAATATTTAAGAAAAAAAAAGAAAAAAGAAAAAATAAATAAAGAAAAGGTGTT